CCCCCCCCCTCCCCCTGCGCTTTTCTCCCTTCTCCTATTATAATTAATTCTTTAATGAAAAAATGAAAAGAAAATTTAAAAATGAACTTCGGCAGCTATGCATTTCAAATTATTATGGTGACCCAAATACTGTTGTAGCGAAAAGTTGAAAAAAAAAGTTTTTTCTGCATTCTGAGTTTTCAGTGATTAGAAACCGCATAAAAAAGAAAGTTTTTTTAATTTTTCTTACAGTCAGTTTTTGAAAGGAAAAAACTTCCGATACCTATTATTATAATTGAGGTTTTAGAAACTGCCCTATAATGACCACGAAATCGCAGCAATCACAAAGTCAGCTTGACCACTTTATTTTAAGCTGTAAGTCAATTTTGCCTTCAAAAATTTTGAATTTTTGATCAAGCAACTTTAAGTTCTATCAATTGCAGTATTATTCAATAGCAAAAATGCATTTAGATGATCAAAAAGAAAATCTGTTGAAAAATTTAAGAATTAAGTGCTGATCTACGGGTAATTTGACGCCTAACTTGTTTGATCACTGGACAACTATTACAAGCAGTATTTAGTAAGTCAGAAAAAATTAAAAAAACAAATGAATAAATAAATAAATAAAGGGAAAAATAATTGTTAAGGAATAAAATTGCGTATCTTTGGCGACAAATTTTTGGTCCAAACAGATCAGAATATCTGAATAAAGCAAAAATTGTCTTTTTTTTTTTTTTTTTCAATTTTCATGATTTCATTGTTCCTCGTCAGTTTCACTTGGGCCGTCGACCACAGTTGGGAAGCGAGCGACACAAATTAGAAAAACCAGATTTTTGTACGACGGACCACAGAAGTCGAGGGGCAGTACTTTTCAAACGGCAGTAGTATTTTTGCCGTAATTATTCTATTCAGGAAAAATAAATTTCTTTTAATTTTAAAAGTATTTTGGAAGAAGGTTATTTTTCACCGTTATTATTGTTACTGTTTAACAGTTGTCTACGAAACGGTAAAATGTTTTTAAATTTATGTTTGATATGAGAACTTATGTCTTCTTTTTTTTTTTGCCGGTAGGCCGAAAACCACAAATGTATTAACGAACAAAGCACTTACTGAGAGATGTTAATGCGTAAGAAATCGTTATTGGTTCCAAAACCGTCAGTAGGAAAGATAATTTCCCTTTAATTCTTTTGACCACTCCTTCACTTTTCAAAGGGAGGAGAGAGCAGAAAGTGCGGAAGACTTTCACTTTATCTGCTATTTTTGGTTATTTAAGTAATTTGTTGTTTTTCAAATTTATAGCGTATCTGTTATACAAGGAAAATAATGCAGTGATGCAAAAAAACCTACTTTTACGATAATCCAATGTACTTCAAAATTGAGCTACCCTCAAAAATCACTTTATTTTCATCATTTCTTTGGTGCAACTTAAAAGCAGATAATTAATACGACTTGATTATGTTAGAAAACAAGATACAAAAAAAAATCTTTTTTTGTTTAGGTTACCGGGTATCAGATACTGGGAGACGAGAATAAAACAAATATAAGTGACATAATTAGACAAGACAGCTTCAACCGTAACTTTCTTTAAAGAACTAATACTCATCAGTGAGCCATATATCAACAATATTTACATATATTAAAAAAAAAGTAGAAAGACAACGGAAAGTAGTTTATAAATGGTACAACCATAACAATAAAACCGTATAATGTTTTTAATTGGACAATGAGAAGAGTTTTTACCTTCTAACTCACTGGGGAGCAGCTGAAAATTGGGTCATCCAATTTCCATTTTAAATCTCATAACTGCCGTTTAGTGTTTGAAAACATAACATGCAACAATAGCAACAATTATTAAACAAGGAATAGATGCGGCAAAGAATAATGACACTTGCAAAGGTGTAATGCAGAATTCATGTCTGACTTCAACACTGTAACCAGGCTTTTGAGAACGTAGCTCATCTGGTAAAATCATTGCAGATTGAATAATATCGAGAGTTTCGAGATCTGTTCCAACATCAATCACGTTATGATCTGCTGAACGACGCCATCTACCGTATCCGGAATCGACAATTTCCGTCTCAGTTACGGGAGGGCTAAAAAGCAATTGTGATTGTGTCAGATTATCCCATATTAATATCAACAATGAAGACAAGCAATTTTGATCTTACTTTGGTTCTTCTGTCTCTGCTTCTGATTCAGGTGTAACTGTAAAGCTAGGCCAAAGATTTGGTCGCTGAGTTCTTGCTCTTACTGTTTGCTTTACTTTCGGGGAATGAGTTTCAGACCCTTCTGCTCCGCTTTCAGTTTTTTCATCTGTGGAACTTGCAGTAATAACGTTATTTGAACCAGATGATTTCGACGAGCCAAATCCTTTTGGTTCAGCACACACAGGTCTTGGACATTGTTCATTAGGTTCCTAAATTGATTTTCACTCAATCCGCCCCTTTTCCAGACTCATTTTTAGGACTTCTTCTATACAATCAATAATTTACATTATAACTCACCTTTACCGAGATGGAAATTTGACACTGGTAGTAAAGCTGCGCTCTGTCGGCATATTTGTAAACATGCGACTCCTAAATAAGAAACTTCTCAGATAAAGCATTATTCATACAAACAGCTTTTCCTATTACTTACAAATAAAGTGTACATAAAACTATTTATTAGGTCAATAGAAGCGAAAAATCATTTAAATAAAGCTCTCCTCTAAACATGTAATTCTGCCTTGGCTAAATGACTAAAAAACACTGTTAATAAGCCAAATTTATAAACTATAATGTATTTACCTGACCGGCCATAAGGTCTGTCGGGTACTCCAAGTTATTTAGTAGGTATTTGTCTACGGCGCAACCATTATCGTCCAAAATTTCTATCCGATTATTGTTTCCGTCGTTTACGTAGCAGGAATGAACAATTGCGCAAAATGTGTTAACTGAAATAAAGAAGGTTTTTTTTTGATTTACAGAAGTAAAAAAACAGTAAAACTATAAAATGAACTAATTTTGCATACTGGTTTCGGTATCACAAGTCCATTTATGGTAAACCTGTTGACCAATGACTGCATAATGTACTGGGCCTCCTTCTGGTCCGCCGTCGAGAATCTGAGTAAAAAGTAAAATAGATTTTGTTTTTCATAAAAGAAAGAAGTATTCTGGGAGGGATTAAATCAAGCAAAAAAAGATGAATTTTCAAACAGCGGAGAAGCATGTGAAAGTGTTAGTAATGCTTATAGAGCCACTTACTTCATATCGGCACACTGGCATTGGCACGTTTGAGGAATGGAATACAGTTGTTAAGTCAGCAACATCAACATTTGTTTGTACGGTTTTTTCAGATTCCATGTAGAAGCACTGGACGCGATAAGCTCTGTCTACTTTGGTAACGAACTGTAACCGATGTTATTTAGTTGAACGTTTAATAAATATTTCCAAATTTCATATCGAAAAATAAGATAAAAAGTTTCTGATAGAAAAAAAAATGATAATAATAATAATAATTAGAAAAAAATATTAAAAATACCTGTGGATGGAAGGAGACTACGACGGAAGTTGATACAAAAATTCCTTTTGGATTAAGGGACCGAGTTCGTTGCGTATTGCATCCGTCAAATGGTAATGTGATAATCGCATTTTTCCCATTATTACCAGAAACTTTACATTCTGGTTGATCAAATAAGCTTTTTACATAAACATTACCTTGAAAAGGATTCTGAAATGAAATAAGTTGATAAAACAGTTAAAAAAGGCATTTTTTTTCCTAGTATGCTTAGCTAAGAAATGTTGAAAATTTAATCCAGAAATGTATTAGTGTAGTTGTGTACAACATATCTGTAAAGGCAGAACCTGAAGATTAAAGGAGACAGTAATTGCTGTAGGTCCACATCCTATTTCAGGTTCTCCAACAATTCCGTTGTCAATTGGAATTGCTTGTACGGTACAAAGAAGAATCAATGAAACAAGAAAATTTTTCATCCCTAAAAAGATACAGAATTTTTGCAGTAGTAACATCATCATCATCATCAACATCAGTACCAGCAGCAGTAGCAGCAGCAGAAGGAGCAGAAGCGGCAAAAGCGCTAGCAGTACACGTTTGAGAGACTATTCAAACAGATCGACAATTATAAATTTAACAAAAATTGAACAAATCAGATCAAATAATTTGAAAAAAAGCAAAAAAAAAAAAATTATTCAAGTTTAAAAAACTTTTAAAATTTATGAACAGTTAGCTGGTGAAAAGAAAAAAACCGGTAAATTAAGGCTGTAAAAAAAATATATATATATAGCTTTAAACGCTGCACAAAGAAGTTTAATATTACCGTAACTTAGTATCAGTAAAAGTTTGAATGACAAACAATTTGTTTAATTTAGTTTAATTTACTCGACGCTCAAAAATTTTCAATTAAATATCATTGTACCTGTTCTTCACAAAAAAAAAAAAAAAA